GTTTAGAATAAGACAATCCTTTTTTTTTTTTTTTAAATGAGGTCCTTCTCAACCCCCATCTCAGACTTAAGGTAAAGAACTCTGCAGAATGTCTGTCTATACTGTAACATTTTCTTACTTCCACATGCAAAATGAGTCTGTTTTTAAAACAGCCAACATCAGCTGAAGGATCGCACGGTTTCACAACCGACTCATAAACGCTCGGTGATCTCCAAAGACATAGCAACGCGAATGAACAGCCGGCTTGGGCAGAGGAACGGTGGTTTTGATGGTAAAAAGCAAGGCGTTCATTTCCATCATGCTGATGTGGACGGAGGATGTGCCTCAGGAACATGTTTCAGTTCCTTGGCATGTCGAAGATGGCTGAGGGTCCGGGAGAGAGGAAAGCAGCCCTCGGACGTTGGAGCTGGCCTGGTGCCCCCCTGTCCCAGCACAAGGCCCCCTGTGACCACAATGGGCCAAGACAAACAAGACCCCCGTAACGTCATCTGAACACAGACAACACGTGGACAGCGTCCAACCCCAGTGACCAGACCCATGTGTGGGGAGAGATCTCCCCGCAGACCCGGGGCTCTGCCCTCTCTCTGTCCAGCTTCCAGCCCAGCGACTCCAGATCTTTGTTGAATAAATCAGTCAACACGGACATGGCAGGCCCTGCTCTGTTAGGCACAGGCCGACGATCGATCTGAGGACGGATTTTAAAATGTCCTTTGCAGGACATGCAGGTTGGTTCCTTTAGCACATACTTAACCCTTGGAGGGAGCCTTCCCGTCCTAGGATCCGGAAAGACAAATCTACGTGAGGGAGAGGCTACAGCCAGACACACCCCATGATTCTTGGAGGCAAGTGTGAACAGCATTCGTGGGAGAGGTTCCAGCATCCGGTCCCCAGCATCGGAGGCCCAGGGTAGCCGTGGTGACTGTAGAGGGACTTCTGCTAAAACTCTGTCCAGCTGCCTCTCCTGGGAACACAGCTCTGTGGCTTCCAAGCTGTGACAGTGGCCTTCTGGAAATGCCAGCTCACACGTCCTCTGGATAGAGCCCGCTGGGGTTGAAGCTGATGTGGGCAACTGTGAGCCCGGACCAGACCTGACCGTCCTGGTCCCTGAGTCTCTGAGCTCCTGCTCTTCATGGAACCACAGAATTCCTGGCGTCTCAGCCCCATGCAGGATAAACTACCACAGAGCCCAGCCAGAGCCGACTGCTGGGATCAGCTAAGCCCTCCCAGGTGACCACGCTGGCGCCGTGGATCCGGAATCTCTGCACGTTCCCAGTTTTCATAAGTTAGACTTTATCTGGGCGATGCCCTCCCTCGCAGGCCCAGGGCCCTTGAACCCATCCCCACATGCATTCTTCAGTTGCTGACATTAGTGAGTAGGTCTTAGGATTCTTTCTGTGGGGGTGTCTTTGCTTGGGGTGGATGTTACAGTTAGCTTCCTGGTCATGAAGTGTCTGTTATAATGGAAGGGAGGGGGTTGTGTGAGCACGTGGGCCTCCTGCGCAGGGTCCCTACCTGGTGAGGCCGGTCCAGGTCCCAGCAGGAGCAGCGCAGCAGGGTAGAAGCGGCTGGTGGTTGGTGAGGGGCCCTGGACTCACCGCAATCCTCCCAAACACCCCTCCTCTAATTGTTCATCCCCTCTCCCTCCCTCTCTGCTTCTCACTGCGGAGATCTGCAGAGGCCACAAATATAACAGCCAACGTGTGCTATGATTGAACAGCCCTGGAGCCAGACTCGGATGGACTTCTGGCTACGAGAGACGAGGGGTTCATTTAAGGCAGCCAGATTCTCCCAGTTCCTTGACCGTATCTTAGGCTGAAGGATTTCAGCTTGGAACTCGCTTTATTTTTAAGTTTCCATCATAATTAGAAGCCACCCACCTGCTCACCAGATTTGTTTCCTGCGAACGCTTCTGGTAAGAATTCTATTGAGTCGGATCCTCAGTTGCAGAGGTTCCAGCACTGATCGATCACTTATCAGCCGTTCACAGTATTGATTACTCAGAGAATTTATGGGGAGTCAGGGAACGGAGCAGAGATGATTCAGAGGCAGGAGTGAGGCAGCCAGGCGAGGCATCCAGCTGGGGGCGAGTCTACTGGAAGCCTCGGGAACAGAGCCCTCCAAGCACAGGGATTCCTGACTTGCCCCAGGCCCATCGGGAGGTCTGACCTCTGACTCCCCTGCTCACGACACCACTGCGCCTTGGCACCGCTCCCCTTGCTTTCCGGGCCTGGGCTGTGCTTGGCTGACCTGGGGTGCACACGCCCTCATGTACGGGCAGCCAGGACCTGCAGGGTTTGGAGCAGGAAGGTGTGGTATGGTCATTGCTGGACAAGCTGGTCTGCACTTGAGGCCACACTTGCCAGCCCTCTCTTCCTTGGTTGATGGTTGTCCGTCTGGGCTTCTGCAAAAACAAACAAGCAAAACAATCCGGGTCTGTCGCCAGGCCTGCTGCGCACCGGGCATTTCCGGGGTCGGTCATTGCTGCGGGGGCCTTGCCACGGGCTTCGGTAAAAGTTCCACAGGCGTGACTCTGTCCGCATGACTCAACTCCACACCCTCCTTCCCTCCGTGCCTTTGACCTAGAAGATAAAAGATTTATTAGGCGCCGGAGAAATGAATATATAAATGGGCACGAGAATGCCTCTGCAGTCACTCTGCTTAAGTGGGTGACACCAGATTCCTGACGACAAGTTCCCTTTCTCTTTGAGCACATACAGATGCATGTCTGCCCCATGCACATGCAGATGAGCCCTGTTTGTGGCACACGCTCTAAACTAAGATGCAGTGGAGTTGTAGTCATTAGATTCTGCCTTATCTCCCACAGCACCAGACGATTAATGTAATTAATGATGATTTTTAAACTTTCACTGACTTACAGGGACCTATGAGGTAACCTTGCCAGGATCATCTCATAACTGAAAGTCTGGAGAAATAGAACAGAGATAGACAATTTAGATTAAACAAGAATCCGAGCTGATACTGGAGTCCTTGCATTCGGCGTCACTCATGCTGATGGGTACATTCTGACTGGGGGTGTTAAGCTGGGCCCCCTCCAAGCAGGGAGGGCCTCTCTGGCCAGCTTTCTGCAGACACTGAAACTCTAAGGACAACTGAAGACGAGATGCACTGAGCCCAGAGAGCCTTCTAACCCACCTCGCACCATGCATCTATTAAGCGCCTACTATGTGCACACAACAGGGCTTGGGCACAGCCATGAATGAGGGTGATGAAGTCGCAGAAACTGGAGGGGTTCTGAGCGTCATCTTGGATGGACACAGAGGGGGTGGTTTGGTTGGGGAAGACACACACGGGGTGCCATCTCCAGGAGAGGCAGGGATGAGTGACTGAAAGTGGGCAGGACCTACAGGAACAGTTTGCCAGTGGGCCGCCCTGGGAGCCTGTGACCATCCAGGTCAGGAGCAGGTCAAGGCATGGGAGGTGGAGATGCTTCAGAGGGGAGGGCTGGGCTCATCCAATTGGCAGGGAGGTGACTGTTTTTCATGTGTTGCAGTCGAGATTCCTGCGGGCATTCGGGGAAGAGCTTCCCAGACAGTGGGCTGCCCGTGACCTGGGCTAGAGCTCAGATTTCAGTTATCACATATATTTAGGATAATTGGCATTTCTGGGAACTTCCGTTTCCTTTGATTTTTTCCCAGAGAAAAAGGGAAGATTTCACACGGAGGATGTGTCAGGCGGCGGTTTGATTGACGCCAGCATTTTGAGAGAATATTGCATTTTATGGGAACTGTCAGCAGGGCTCGGAAGGAGATGTTTGATGCTTTGTGGCACATCCGTGTCAGTTCTGTCGGCTCCGGGACCACGCTTACTGCGGGCTTATTAGTTCCAAGTGCATGACTCACAGTTTGCATCTTGAATGCCACGTCTGCAAGTTGTTAAGTTTTCTACTTTCATTTCTGCTGGGAATTCTCGGGAGAGGGGCACTAACACTGAGCTGCCAGGAAGCGGCTCTCCTTGCCTGTCACCCGCTCCTTCAAAGACGACGAACAGGAGGAAACCAGCAACCTTGACTCCATCCAGCTGGCCTCTGGTGGGCTCTGTGCTCCTGGGGAGGTGTCCACGGCTGTAGAGGGGCCCTGCCTGTCCATCTCTTATCCGTGACTACAGGCGAGTAGTCAATGCGACGCTATTCCTCAGCAAACCAGACGTCATGCCCAGCCCTGGGGCAGTTTCATCCCAGACACGCTGCCCGCTGGCCGGGCTGGGTTGCTGTAGGACTCGGGTCCCGAGCAAGAGTTCTTTGGTGCTGCCCGGGCGGAACGTGCCATGCCACCTGCCCTTCCCCCGGACCCCAGCACCAGGCAGACAGTCTCTCCTTACCTCTGGTCCTGTTACTCTTGTGTGCAGTGTGGCCAGCAGGTACGGCCTCCCCAGGATCTCTGCAAGCACTCTGGACCCTGCAACATCAACACAGACCAGAC